CTGCTATTGTGTCAAAGATGGGCTGTACTCATATTTTATTGCATACTTCTAGGCGTGAAATTATCCGCCCTCCCCCCGTCAAACGGTTCCATAATTAATGGCATTCGATGGTAGTCAAGGGCGGGGGGTTCAGTTTTGTCCCTTTCACACAGCATTGATTTATATTCTAGGATTTCTAAAATAAGAAGAAGAAAGTCAGCTAGCTTTTCACGTTTTTCCAGTTGGAAATCTTAAGAAACTTTCACTTTTTAAGGAGGTTAAATAGTAACTAAAGAATTCTAATCTTAAGTAATCTTAAGCTATGTACTCTTACATCTTTTTTATAATATTATAACGATACAAAATGCCCAAACTTATCCCTAAAAATCCCAATAAAAACAGAGTAATATCTTCCTAGACTCCCAAGACTCAACCAGAAAACCCCTTCTAGCCATGCCAAAGCAGCCATGAAAAGCCGGAAAAACTTGCTTAAATTGTTTGCCAAACGATAATCATATTCGTATGCATACCATACTCGTACCATACCGACTTCCATCTAATTTCATTCCCATCAAATTGAATATTTATTAGGTTCACGGAAATGCCCAACCCATACCCATCGACCATTGTTCATTATGAATTCATGCGATGCATTTTCACCTGGACATTTTCTCAGTTTTTGCAAAACAGCAGTGGGGGCGAAAAACACAAACATCCATCCACCCATCTAGAACCGTTTGCCTCCACCACGATGACAGTTTTGTATTTTTGGACGAACAGCGGTATTTTTCCCAAGGATCAGCAGCTCGCTCAACTGTCAGATGGCATCGATTATGCATCAAAGCATAATTCAAGCTGTCGCTTCGCTTAGCGCTGGCCATGAAATTCAATTGGCCATTGGACAGGAGCAGGAGCTAGAGCAGCAGGATAGGGATAGAGATCAGGATGTATATTGGTAACCACTGAATACTCAACTCACTCCTACGGAGGAAAACCCTCCCCCCTCGAAACCGAAGTAAAAACAATTGAATTATGGTTCTTGGGCCAGGAGAATGTGCGTCAGTTGACCGAAAACTGCAAAGAGAGCGGCGTCAGTCTGATAAATGACCATCAAGAGGTGTGGGGCACACCAGTGGTCGGTGTGTGCAGCTGCCACATGGCGTATGCGCAATGTGAGAAGAAGGAGGTTAAAAAAGAACTGGCCAAAAAAGGACGACTACTGCAACAATTGCAATATTTGGCAGCAAATTTTATTGCCCAACTCGGCCCCGGTACAAAATATCGAGTTCATTTATCAAGTCCCCTCTGTGCTGCGGTCTGTCGTCCTGCCAGCAAATTGGCAAACGAAACTGATGTCCTTGTATCCCCCTTCCTGTCTCTCGAAAAGACAAAAACAAAAAGGATATAAAAAAAAGATAGCTTTTTTTTCCCACAGAACTTGCCACAGAATTTGCCTTGCACTTGCCACAATTACTTTGATTGCTAATCAACTGCAAATTGCCCCGAACTATCAATATGCATTGTCACATTTCCAATCAATCATTGATTGACTTTGCCACCTACCCTCCCTCTCTCTGTGTGTATGTGTGTGTGTGTGGGTGAGTGGGAAATATCATAATTGACAGCTTATTTTTATTTTTGCATCTGTGACGACTGTCAGCGGGTAAAGGAAAAGCGGAAAAGCGAAAGCAGAAAGGGAAATGCAAGAGGAAATAAGAGGAAAGCCCAGTGACATTTTCAAATTTCATTCTTGCAGCATATTCCGATGCATCAAAGTTGCATTGAAAGGACACTCCGCCTTGTGCCTTGTGTCCTCTGTGGGAGGAGGAAAAGGATTTTCGGGATAAGTCTCTGGCAGAACTCATCGATCAACCTGTCACCTGCCGCATGCAAAAATTGTGAAAGAGTTCCGGATATTGAAAAAGAAATTTAATTTAATTTCACTTCCTGTTTGTTTGCACAGAGTAGGGCTAGGGGGGAGAATATAATCTCTGTTCCTCTCATTTAATATCTGGAAAATCAACATTTGATATTGATAAATCCCTTCCATTTAGCACTGCAGTTTTGTATTAGCCCCTCCTCCGGCTATCTTTGGCCAATTAACTGTTTATTGGCTCTTCTAAATTCACAATTAGCCGTCGAGCAGAAGTCCAATTAGCCGATTGAATTACCAAATCAAATCTCTCATTACTCTGTTGGGTGTTTTTTGTTTTTTCTGTTTTACTTTTCACCCCCTTTTCTCCCCCTTTGGCAATGGCATTTATTCGTCAATAGAATTTTCCAACCGAATCGCTCATCGCGTATAATTATCGGCTGCAGGTTGGAGTTTCACTAGCCATCTATTTTCCTGACCTCCCTGCCTCCCTGCCTCCCTGCCTCCCTGCCTCCCTGCCTCCCTCTCTCAATTGTAAATCAATCTGTCAGTTAATAACGAAGCAACCTTTCATTACCCCTTAGCCCCCCCTTAGCAGATGCTCTGCTCTGCCCTGCCTGTCCACCCTTTCACCAAGCCACTTTCTTCTTCCACTTTCGCTTTCTGTGGGCGGGGCAATAAGCGTGTGCAAATAGAGAGGCGGGCAAACAAAAATGACACTCTGGGAAATCAAGGGGGCTTAACTAGCTTATGGATTTGTTTTTAAGGAGTTTTAATATTAATTTTATTAAAAAAGAACTTTGAATGTGTTAAAAATGGTAATAAAATCAAGCAAAGAAAGTCATTAAATAAATACTAGTAAATATAAAAAGCAAATTAAGTATAATTTTAATTAGGAAAATCAGAAAAATAATCATAGAAAATAATAAATTATTGCATAAACTAAACATAAATATTAAAATTAAAGCCTCTTTCCTTGGAAATCCTTAATGCCAACTCAACTATTCTAAAATCTAAAATCATCAACATTAGTCCATAACTTTCTTCCCTTCCCTTACATTCCCCTAATTTCTCTCAGTGCACTTGGTCTATGCCGTACAGCATATCAGAAACGCGACGGCGGCTTAATTAAAAATTGTAAGTGGCAGTAAATTAATTATAACCGTTGCCCGCAAAGTGTTTGGCTTGCAGCACATGTGGGCGGCCATCAGCGGTGATGGCGAGGGGCGGGTCTCGTGGCAGAGCCACTACTTTGTGTGCTTCTGCTATGTGTGTGTGTGTGTGTGTATCTGTGTGGCAGTGGCAGTGACACGGAGGGGGGCTGCACTTCAAAGGGAACCGTTTTAATCAAATTTCGAAGAGTGGCACCGCTTGTGATGTGGGTGAAAACGAATAGAGGAAAACCTCCAGACCTCCAGAAAAGGAAAAGCGAAGCGAGAGTGGAAAACTGTCGGAAAAGTCAGCTCTCATTACAATGAGATCTTTGCAAATTCTATGGAGGGTTGAAGGATGAGAGCCGCCTCCTTCCTCATTCCGTAACTGGTAACCCCAGCCGTAACCAGCTCGAAAAGTAGGCAGGAATCAGGAAGCTGTGTGTTGTCCCTTGTCCTCAGAAAAGACCGATCCATGTATGGGATATAGAGGAAGAAACCCATGGAATCTATGGATTCACTGACTACCGACTACTGACTGACTGGCTGACTGACTGACTGGCTGACTGGGCCCTCAAAATTGGAAATACGACAAATGAAAGAGAGGCCGTCCAGGAATGTCCTTTGATGGGAATTTTCCTTTGTCGCCCCAAATGGGAAGGAAGCAATTTGAAAATCACTCTGGAACGTCACTCTGCCTAAATTCCCAATAAATTCAAATTGCATGTTCTTGGATTTGATGGCTTAAAAGGGAGGCTTTAGATCAAGAAACTTAACAATAACATTGGCTAATATGCCACAGAACTACTTCAGATATTTCCAACATGATAGCCAACTTTAATTTATAGTTTTAATCAACTAACTTGGCTTTTGAATATGTTGATGAATTACCACAATTTCGATACAACTAGTGATACCGAGCCTGACCTGCTTTGGCCCAAAAAAAAGGTGGACTGTGCTGGCCAACTTCATTAGGCAGCCGAAAAAAAAAACATGAAGGCTAGTTCATTTCCCTCTCAAGGGTGGGGCAGCCCGCCCGCAATCATAAAATGTTTTGATTCATTTGCAAGCTAAATTGAGGCAAAACATTTCAACTTTTCCTGGATCGCACACCTGGCCCCGAGGGCGGTCGAGCGGCAGCTTCCGCCTGTGAAGATGAACTATCTGTGGCACCACTCGTTGCTTCATTTTCAGCCATTGAAGCGTGCCACCGATTGAAAATTTAATTTCCCGCCTATGGCGTTGAAATAAAAACAAAAAACGAAAGAGAGAAAAGCATGGCAGAGGGAGTGAGGACAAAAATGTGGAAAACCTCAGAAGGAGGAAAATGAGAAGGGCAAGAGCCATAGCCATAGCCAGAGGAAGGGGAAGGGGAAGAAGAAGAGGAAGCTGTGTGCCACCGGTTTAGACCAGGCCAATGTATTTCCGTTCATATTCAAGCCCGGCAAGTGGATTTCGATTTGGATTTGGATTTGGATTTGAATCTGTAGATGGTAGATGGTTGATGGTAACAGGGAGCTGAGAGCTGAAAGCAGGATTTGGACTTGGATTTGCCTGTGGCACTCCTCCTCCGCTTTATTTGCAATAATCCAAATTGCCAACGGTCGAACCGTCAGACCGTATTTCCTGTTTCGACTGCCTGATTTATTTATTGAACCATCGAAACCATCGAGGAGCACACCTCGACAGATTTCCACTCGACTTCAGTCTGTCTGTCTGGGGCAAAAAATCAAATAAGTTGGCCGGGAAAGTATAATCAAGGAGTGAAAAAATGGGAAATTTTCGAACGGAAATAAGTCGGAAAATCAGTAGTTAAAGGAACTACTTTAGTTAAAAGTGTTAAATCATAAGAAATGGGTCAAGAAAGATCAAGTTTTGGTATAATCATTTCCTATAACCACCTCATCGAATATACTAAGTTTCCTTTTATCTAGTTTTAAGATCCCTCTAGTTAACCGAACTCCCTACTAATCCTCCTTTCTATACCTTCTTTAAAGGTCTCTCAAAACGACCACTGGGCCCGCCGCATCGTAAAAGCAGTCTACCAAAGCATCAGGAGGTGAAGCGACGCTTCCTGGAAATTTGTGATACGACCTTCTCGGAGGAGGTGAGGGCCGCCCTGCGCCTGCCGGCCTTCGATTCATACGAGTGGGGCGATGCCGATGTCATCCATCTCATGCAAACGATGTTTGTTGAGCTGGGATTCATCGAGAAGTTCAGCATTCCGGTGGACACTTTGCGCGAATGGCTCTACGAGGTCTACAAGCACTACAACGAGGTGCCCTTCCACAATTTTCGTCACTGCTTCTGCGTTGCCCAAATGGTAAGTTTTCTTGTTGTTCTCCTTTTTTTTTCTTTTGGTTTTACAATTTTTATTATTTAAGTAAGAGTTAGTGATATAGTTTCTGAGATCGTAAAGTTTATACGGACAAAAAGAGGGACAGAAAGGCAGATAGACAGCAGACGGACAAACAGATTTTAAGACAAACGGACAGACTGAACGGACAAAAAGATCGACAGACAAACGGACTTACTAAACGGACAAACAGACGAGCAAACAAACGTACAAAAAGATGGACTGGCATACGTAGAGGAAGACGGACTAACAAACGGACAGACGACGGACAAAAAGACAAGCAGAAAGATGGATCGACACACGGACAGAAATGGATGGACTAACAAACGGACAAACGGACGACCAAGAAGACGGGCAGAAAGATGGACAAACAGACGAACAGAAAGATGTATCGACATACGGACAGAAAGACAGAATAACAAACGGACATACCAACGGACATACCAACGGACTTCAACCTAATCGATTCGGCTATTGATCTTTTTACATTCTTTTCAAAGAAGGCATTATATAATATACATATAATGTATAATGTATAAAGTATCATAAATCTCAAACAGCTGTGATTTTATCTTAAGAATTTATCTCCGAGCAGAACTTGTATTGTTTTGCAGTGAAATTGGATATGCGCTGTATTCGTTTCTTAATGGCCTTTCCTCGGGCCATGTACAAGTTGTGATATAATATATGTTTCACCCTACATCACCCCCCTCACTCACAATTGTGTCGGAAATTATTAATAAAATACTTGAACGTAGCCGTTGAACAAATAATATAATATATGCAGAGATACTCTCCATATGGCCTTATAAGCCCACATTGTAAATGTGTGTAGAACTGGCAATCGATATAATGTGGGAATTTTTATAAGGCAGAACATAAGTATTTCTATATCTGTATCTCTGTGTGTGTGTGTGTCTGCTCACATACACAATAAGCGGCGCCCAGTTGTATGCAATGCAAAAATAAACTAAAGCGCCAAAGGGCAATCCACCCAAAAAAACGTTCACATAAACACACACACACCACACACACACACACACACGTTTACAGAGGAAATACACGTGTGAATGTACGGGACTGTATGCGAATGTGGCTTAGAGCAGGACCTATTTTTAGCTGCCAAGATACGCCGCCCAAGATACAAGATACGAAAGATACAAAGAATTTGTTTCTCTTTCTCGTTTCCTCTTTGTTTTTTAAATAGCAACACTTTGGCCATGGAAATGCCAGGCCAGAGAAGGAAAGCAAGACTGGTCACTCACCCAGTATTGTCGAAAAAAAAAAATAAAAAAAAACAGACAGAATGAAAGAAAGTAACTAAAAAGAACGACCCACCCACCGAGCACTTAGAACGGCGACCCACTTGGCTGCTCAAGTGCCAGCGGAACAATTTTTTTTAACCTACATTTTTGGCAAATGAAAGTTTGCCGGGTGTTGTTGCATCTTCTCGCTGCAAGTTCCTTCCACTTTTTCCACTCTCCCTCCTCCCCACAATACATATATACCCTATTATTATTCATAGGCTTTGGGGTATATAAGTTAGGTATTCCCTAACTCCAAGCTTAAAGGTTAATTAGTTTGGGATTTGTGTTTCTCTTTTCTTTTCTTTATTACTTTATCTATCATTTATTAATAGACACAGAAATCTTATATTTAGCCTCAACTTTCCATATAGGATATCCCTTTTTCGTAACCTTCCTCTTCCCTGAAAAAGCAGCTCTATTTGCATAAAATATTCCGCACTATTTTTTTGAGTTCTTATTTAGCTTTTTCCCTAACATAAATATAAACTGAAATAAATTAAAATGCATTGTCAAAGTTTCCTATAAAGAGAGCTGCACTTAGTCGAGCTTCACTGTGGCTCAACTTTTTAAAGGAAACTAAGACAAAGACACACACACACACACACATACATACTCGTAGAAAACATAAAAAAAAAAGCGAAACGAAACTTTAATAAATTATTTTTCCAGGCAACACAAAGACTAACAGGTAAAGGGCGGTTAAAAGGGGGAGACCGGGCATGGGCGTGGCGTGGCAACAATGGCACAGACTCTGCAAGTTAAAGTCAACAATATGCGGGTAGAAGCAAGCGGGCGAGTAGGGGGGACAGCGCCAAAGACGACAAAAGGACGAGAAAAAGTCAGATAGTCGAGGCGCATCAAGTATACGCACGGTTGCCCCATTGCAAAATTGCTGCCACAAGCGCAACTATGACAATCGCATTATTATTTTTCAGCCGTTGTTGTTGTTATTGTTGTTGATGTTGTTGCTGTTAAATATGTTTGCCATAAACCGTATTATGTGGCAGACACAAAAAAATGAAGAGGAAAAGCAGAAAACCCAGGGTCATAATACACAAACATCATCGTCCGCGTTGTCCACGCCATTGGTTCCACGATCTATGCACCTGAATTTTTCTTCTATTCTTTTTCTTTTCTTTGAGTGTAAAGCACACTGACTGAAGGCTGACTGAAGTAGGTACTAATAACTCCATTAAAACCAAAATTTGAATTTATTTTAAAATTTCATAAACTTAAATTCAATATAGAAGCAGACCTTATACACTCTTTATAATTCCTGTATCTTCTGTGCTTTTCATCTTCTTTATATTTATGAATAATATTACATTTATTTCAAATAAAATTCCTCAAGTTCCCCAAGTTAACATTCCTTAAGCTGCCTCATTTTACCAATTTAACCTTCTTCTGTATTATTTTTTTGCTGTATTTATCTTTCCATATACAAAATCCCTGTAAGAGTTATATAGTTTTATAGTTTTTATTTTGACTTTTTTTGACTCCAAACGAAAAGCTGTGCCTAATATTTTTATTCATATTAAGACTGCCAAGCTCGCTCTTTGGCATTCCTGGCACTCACTCTGCTATATAGATTCGTATTTAAAAATATGGGACATGAATCGATTGCAGAATGTTTGAGTTTCGACCTCCGGCTAGCTTCCCCTCCACTCTCTTTCCATTTTTATAGCTTTTCAGCGATCCATATGCGTTGCTGCGTATTTAACAATTCAATGGGGGCTGCCCATTTGCATAGGCTACGGTTTTGTACATCAGCACAGCAGCGGTGCCGCAAATAGGAGTTATACTAGTCTGAGAAACTAGAAATATGTTTACAGTTTTAAAGGTTATTAATAACCTTTATTCTTGAGCATATATAAATCAAGAATTTAGTGGAATAAATTCTACATTTTAGTCATTATTTATAACAAAAACAAGTTCCTTTCTATAATGAAAAATGATTTTTTTAAAGAACTGCTAACCATTCTATAGTTTTTGCTAACCGCAACTGTAAGTAGTTGTTAGTGCTTATAGTGCGTGTAATTTGCCTTCGCTAGTATGTGTGTTTGTGTGCGTGCATGGACCTAAAAGCCGTTTGCAGGACATGACAGTCAAGCCGTTAAGCGGCTTTCGCTCAACCTACAAACAGGCCAACAAAAACCGGGCATTAAGGCACTGGCAAGGGCGTAAATTTAAATTATTGAACAGAAGCCGCCCTTCTCCTCCTTCTCCTTGCCTCTTGCAAACCCATCGCCTTGCCCCCTGAGAGGGGGCGTGACCAAACACTTTGACTAATTTCCATTGGCTGCACTTTTCATCTGACGCTGCAGTTGATTTCCTTGGTGTATTTTTGTCCGCTGAAAAGTTTTCCAACAAGCAGAAAATGCAGCAACCCAACTCTTCACCCTTGAGAGTGGGTTGGATGGGAGGGGAGGGCGAGTTTTTCGAGAGGAGGGGGGGCTTGGTTCGTTGCTGGCTAGTTGTCTGCGTCTGTTTGTTGACAATGAATTTAGATAAACTTGCGAAATTCGAAACGCAAACAGCATTTGCATTTGCATAAATTTATAGCGCCATCCGCCTGCTTCTGCTCCACCCTCCTACCTACCTTTCCCCCAGAGAGATTTCGTTTTCACACCATATCCCTCTCTATATATATATATATATCTATCGGCTAGCCCTCTTCGCTCTTTCTCAATTTCGATCCCCACCCCACCCTTTTCACTCGCACTTAATGCCAAAGTAAACGCAATGGCGGCGAAAGTTGTGCAACAACTTTTACGACCAGAGACCCCAAAGACTCACCTCTTAGGAGGCGCACACACACACCCCCTGCAGCAACCTCCCCACTCTTTTGCAACTTTAGTGCAAAGAGCTGAGTAAAGTTTGCGCTGCTTTCGCATTTCGAAGAGCTTCAATTGAACGCTGTTGAAATTCCTTGAGGGTCTCCGCCGCCGCCTAGTCATCTTCATTTGCAGCCAACGCTTTTTCGCAGGACCAAAAGGACACGACAGGGAGCTCTCGAAGGAGAGTCAAGGGATACGATTTCGAAATACCCTGGTCTTCCATACTAGGGTTTGGTTATTACAATGATTTCGTCTTTATAACTCACCCAAATTATGTTTTTGGAGTGGCTTTCGATTTTTGAAAGAAACTGTTGCATACTTTTAAGCGGCAACTGCCTTTGCTTTGAGTTTGGGATTTTTGTGCGGTTTGCTTAACTAGTCTTAACGAGTATATCAGTAAATCTGGTTAAGAACTAAAGTTCCAACTTTAATATTTATAAAAACCAAAAGAAAATTATACAAAAAAGACTTTTTTCACTCCTGTTATATACCCTATTCCCAATATACTATACTATTTTCTTCCCCAACTCTACATAAAGGGTATAAAATGTAGAAGGTTTTAAGAGTTGGCAGGAAAGGACTTTCAGTTAAGGGGGGAAAGTCCTTCCACCTGGCAATTGCAAAGGTTTCGCAGCAGACAAATTAAGTTGCCACAAAGAAGGGAGAAAGAGTTTTGAGGTGCGACAGGACCAGACGTTAACGTTCTCAAGGAACAAGAACAAGCTATCGACAGCGGATCGGATGAAATGTGTTCGGAAAATAAAAGTAAAACAAAAAAAAAAAAGAAAACTACCAAGAAGCTTTAAGGCTTTAAGACTAATTGCCGCATCAAGATAAATGGTCAGAGATCGATGATGCTTCGTTAGTGGATACTTTGAGGGATTTAATGGTTGGTTTACCCAACCCGAAGGTGAACGAAAAAAAGCTGTTTAATGACTCGGATTAGAAAATGAAATATATAAGTCATTAAGATGGGAAAAACTTTAACTTTTTCCCTTTCAAAATGATAAAATCTTTGTAGTAAATACAAATATAACTTTCTTCTTTCAATTTCCTCTACAAAAACTAATGCTTCTACCAAATCTCCTCTTTACAGATGTATGCCATAACCCGCCAGGCAAATCTATTGAGCCGCCTCGGCGACCTGGAGTGTCTGATCCTGCTGGTGTCCTGCATTTGCCACGACCTCGACCATCCTGGCTACAACAATATCTACCAGATCAATGCCCGCACCGAGCTGGCTCTCAGGTGGGTTTACCCATTTCATTATACAGTTTATATATATAGAGATATATAACCCGATTCTATTGCAGATACAATGACATCTCACCGCTGGAGAACCATCATTGTTCGATAGCTTTCCGCCTGCTGGAGCATCCCGAATGCAATATATTCAAGAACTTTAGCCGCGACACCTTCAAGTGAGTTTAACTAGTTTTCCTTTCTTTTTTTTTACAACTCGATTTAAGATCCCATTTGACGGGGATTTGGCTGGGTGGTTCGTTCGGTTGGGTCAATTAATTGCCGAGAGAGAGCATCCACTTTATGCGCGGCACGTACCAAATGGCATTGCATTAAACGCTCGCCCCATTGCCGTGGTAATTAACAGCTACCAGCTGCACTACCACCCACCACCCATCACCCACTAGCTACCAGTCATCAGCAGCTACTACCCCACTTGACCTACACCCATACACCCATTGTGTCCGGACCCAACCTGAAATCCATGCCAAGGCACGACTGCAAAATCCATCGATTTGGTATTTAAAGAGCAAGAAAATTCTGGGGGGAATCGATCGGTGGTTATATCTCTTTTGGAAAATTCTCTTATTAAAATCTAAATTAAACATAGATCTTGTTATTAAATTGTGTTTTTTAGTTTTTGTATCTGGAAATGTTTTCAAATGTTTTCCAAAATCGCAAGCAAGAAAGTAAATCGGCTGTCTCAAAGCCTGAAAATCTGCTTAAAAGTTTTCTAATTTGTTGAATTATTTGCTCACTTTTTCCCCTACTCTAAGTCACTTCCAATAATTAAAAATATAATTATTTTATACCCTTAAGAACACCTTTTCACTGCTCTAAAGAAAACCTATATACCCTTATAAACAGCCCATTTCTTAGGGTACTAAAAATAAGTATCGCGCAAAAGTAAAAAAAAAAAAGAGGAAAAGTTGAAACAAAAGGAGAAGCGTAGTGTTCACTACACCAAATGTCCTTGTTGCCGTTGTTGTTGTTGTTGTTGTTGTTGTTTCATTCACGGTTTTCCTGGTTTTTCCCTCCGAGTTTCCCCCGCTCCCTGCCTGCTTACAATATGCAGTCGGACTTGCAATGGAATGAAGATTAAGCTGTAATTGGCCCGGACACGACATAATCCCACCGTTCAGCTCGCTTATAACTTGACTTAATTCGAGAAAATCGAGAAATTGCCCCACATCGAGAGCAATTGAAAACCATCGAACAATTGCCACTATTTTTCCAATCGATTTATCGAGTAATTAAAATAAATCTCCGAATGGTTGCCTTTATTTGAGCTGTCCGCTTGAAATTTATGATGTGTATGCAAGGACTTTCGGGAAAAATATTTAAAATTATTAAGCAGATTGGCTTTAGCATTTAAAGTTGACTTTTAAACTGAAATTTATCTCAAATATTTGTAATTTTATCGTTATCGATAAACAAATTTACTTAATCTGTGGCTTTTCGAGGAGTTATTGTTAGAAATTGAAAAAATCGAAAAGAAAACGAAAGGAAAATTCAATTTCATCAGCAGAAAACCTCAGCGCTATCTTATCAAGTTTTCCCGCATCATGCTTTCTTCTTAAGTTATTATATAAAATCGCCTTTAACTAGGTTCGATTAACTAATGAAAATGCTGGGGAAAGCAGCGTGAAGTTTGCTTTTCCCCGGATTATACGTTTTATATAATAAAGCTATTTGATGGCTTAGCGAAGCTTTTTCCGCGCTTAACTGACCCCCGCCTGACTGGCTTTCCCCCCCCTCGTTCATTTTAAACAGCATTTTTTTCCAACAAATCCCCCTCCCCCGATTCGCCCACCCCACACCAACGGCTTTTCTCGCAATTTCATTTATTCTGCGAACATTTTTTTTCTATGTTGTTGTTTTTGCTGCATTCATTGCATGCATTTTATATTGGAAAATATTCCACAAACACTAATTAAGTGGATTAGCTGGCGAAATGCTTTTCTCGACTTTGACTTGCGGATGTGTGCGTGGGTGAAGGGGGGAGTAGGGGGAAAAGTGTGGAAAATCGTGAGGAATGAGGAATGGGGAAAATGGGAAATGGCAAATGGAAAATCGGAGGCTGGGAGCAGCTTCATCATCATCATCTTCGTAGTCGCAGTCGCAGTCGTCGTAGTCGTAGTCGTTGTCCCGATGACAACCTTCATTATGAACAAGAAACGCAATCAACGGAAAGTCGCGCCCTTGACAACATACCAACTAAACCACCCGAACCACCCCCCGCGCGTTGATTTTCCTTTTGCAAGTTTATAACTGTGTGTGTGTGTGTGTGAATGTGCTTGTCTGTGTGCATAAACTATTGGATACTTTTGGGAGTTTTTGATGGCAAAACTTGTCGGCAAAATGCACACAATATGCCAGGCATCAGCATCATAATCATCATCAAAACATCATCAACTCGGATCGGAAAATGCTAGTGGGAAAATGGTGTCGTCTTGTCGGCAGCATTCCTGAGTTCCTAAGACCAGCCACCGCTTTGTCATTGCGATTATTAAGCATGATTATTGCCAGACAATTGGACGTGGCATGTGCATAAATTTGTGGCATTGTTCGTGTAACAACCAACTAAATAAGCAAATATTGTTATTTCATTTCGAGTCGCAGTCGTCTCAGTCTCCGTCGCAGTCTCCGCCTTCGTCTCCGTCTTCGATAACAAACAACAGGCATTTCAGGCTAACGAAAATGGAAATAGTTTACCCTTGCAGTCACTGTTGACAGCTTGCCCCAATAAGTTCGATAATTAATGTTAATAAATAAATGCTGTTCTTGTTCATAAATGCTGAGAAGTTAGACAAATATAGTAAACTTAAGACATAGGGAAACTTTCCCGAGAGCTGTTCCATTTAAGTTAAGTTTTTCCCTAAAAGGCATGCCTTTCTTTCTAATTTGTGTAACAAACTAATTTGGGGAAATTAGAAAGCTTTCTTAAAGGGAAATGCAATATTTTTAGCTTTCTTATTCGCAATTTTAAGATTTTTACACCCCCAAAATCGAACTAAATTGCTAATTAAATTCGATTTTTCCCAACTACAAACATAAAGCTATAGTAACCTGATCCCAATGACTTAATTGAGCCCAAAACTGCTGTATTTTTCCGCTTTCCACTTGCTAAACTCCCGGTTTATCCTTTCATTTGGCACTCTGGTTGATTTTCCCTTCTTTTTTGTTTGGAAAATCCTCTACCATAAACACAGTAAAACCTTGATTTTTCCACTATTTTTTCCTACATACATTCTGCTCAACAGAATCTCCGATATCAGATATATATACATATATATAAATTGTGGTTACATTCTTCTTCTTCACTTTCGCCTGTGTACGAGTGTTAATGTGGGCGTCACAGATGATGTGGCTGTGGGCGTGGCCATAACAAACAACAACAAGCCGTGTAAAACGCGGTTGGATTTTATTTGATTGCAACGAAACTCCAATTTCACGAAGAATACAAAATAAAAAGCTTAACTTGTTTGATTTTCCCAGAGGGAGGGGAAAAGGGAAAAAAGGGAAAACACTTCGTAAAAAGTGAAAATACAAAACCAGCTAGTGAAAAGCCAATCATATTGTGGTAGTTAAAGGCATTTTTTCAGATAACAATTCAAGTATAAACCGAATTTCCCATAAGCAGGCTAATAAATTGTAGAGATAATAAAGTTTTTGCTTGATTTTGATACTATAAATTCGAAATATTAACAACTAAATTGATTAGAAAATCGAATTTCCTTATCAAAAACCTTAGCGTTTAGCTTAACCTTTGCCGCTTTCCATGGCAAAATTTCATTTAATAAGAAAACGAACAGAAAATACACTCAAACCAAGTTTTAAACTTGAAAGCAGAATTATCATCTTCCCCAACATAAACATAAAGGAAAACAGCATTTTCCCTCAGTGTTTTTCCTTTCGAATTTCCGCGCTAATTTGTCTAATTTATTACCAACTCAAATAGTTTTCACAACACAAACATACAAATAGTTAGATGGGCCTTGGGTGGGAACCCATCACCAAATCCTACACTTGTCGACGGGATTCATCCGACTGGTGGTCGTGCACTGGAAGGTCTCTCCAAATTCCGGCAGATTGCCAAGAACATTGTTAACCCTTTCGCCGTGTCCGGCATGTTGGCCCAAAGCAGACGCCGCTGCCGTTCCACACCAATTCTGGGCAAAGGTCACAAAGAATGTCCGCAGACTGTGATTGGTAACATTCCGTCGACGATACGTGTCGAGAGCCAAACGTAGACCTTCGCTATCGGCTATATTCTCGTTGATAGTTAGCGTGGCATTACTGTACCGTCCACTCAGATAACAACCGGCACGCAGGCCAAAACGTATAATGGCCCTGGCTGGCCATTGTCCATTGGCCAGCTGGCCATTGGCATCGTAATTAATGCCATCATAGTCGAAGGCATGGACCATTTCGTGGGCCAGGATATAACCCAAACCGGCGGCCAATTTGGCCATCGTTTCGTCCACCTTCGAGCACTGTTGTTGGACGACAAGGGGCGTGGCCATCAGACCCAACGGCAATTCAATCCGATTCAACTTGAGGCGATAGTAGGCATTCACGGATAGTGGATCCGCTGGCACAGACGTCACTGGTTCTCCGAACACCTGTCGAAATTCCAATTTGGCCTGATTGAGGGACAGCTGCATTAGATTCTCATCACAATTACCACCCAAAGTGGGCGGTTGTCCTCCTGCAGGATTCGTTCCCGGCTCCTGGAGACGTGGCGTTAGCAAACGCATTGCCCGCAACTTATCCCGAGCCAAATTTCTCGTCTCGACATTATCCTCAAAGACCTCCGTCTCATTCAGAACCACCTCGAATTGGTGTTTGAGATCCCTAAAGAGTACAGCTATCTGTTGGATGGACGTATCGTAGACATCCTGATAGTTCTCGCCCAAAACCAATTGCATCTGCAGGCGTCCCAGTTGGCCTGGCATTAGTTTCCTCAACTGCTCCAGGCAATGATCCCGCTGGCTGCTCAACTTTTCATCGTCATGCAATCGCAATTCGAAGTGGGCTGGCAACTGGAGGAGTAACCAAGTGGATAGAATCATTGGATCCGTCGTATCCCTGGCCAGTAATCTCCTTAAGCCATGCAGATAATCCAAGTCAGCTACTAGCAACAGGCTGGATGGATCCCAATCGAGTCCCTGGAGTATGGTCTCAAAGTACCTCTTCAGCTCCAATCCCGGCAGCTGCTGCTCCAAATCCCTTAGACTTTGTGGCTTCCTCAACACCAATGTCTGCTCCACATCATTGGGCCGCAGTATTTGCAGACTCTTCTCGAATCCAACGATTTGCTTGGCCAAAAGGGCAGCCTTACGCACTCGTACACCCAATTCCAAGAGCAAACCCTTTAGATACCGCTCATAGAAAAACTCATTCATCTCATTGCCATCATTGCCCAGCAGATCAAATGTGGGTGGTAGGATGTAGAAGATTCTCTGATCCGCCGATTGCCAATTGTCCTGGACCAAGAGCCTCCACAGACCCTGAGCCCCGTAGGTTCGCAGGGCGGCATTGGCCAGAACCCAATCGAAGGGACTACCACTACCATTATCCTTATTGGCCAGCAGCGGAAAGTTGGCACCACTGCGGGCCATGGCATCTGTATAGGCTCTCACAGACTGGCCACTCGACAGGCAGCTATTATAAAATGTGGCCAATTGTCCGGCGGATTCGTGCTGCGCTGAGCTCGTCTCGAGGTGATGGATTAGATGGAGCTTTAGTGAGGCCACCCACTTGGTCCGCATATCGTGGGCTCCCAGATTCCTTTGCATAGTGCTGGCATACCAATTGCCACAGGCATGCTGGTAGAAATTCTCACACGCCGCCTCCTCCAGGTCCATGTCGTTCTCCAGTAACCTGGCACAGTCTTGAGATCTCACTGATCCACTGAGCTGTAGCAGCAGCAGGATTACACCCAATCCGATGATCATCGTTGGTAGCTCCATGCCTCCAAGCTCACTTTCCAGTTACAGCGACGTTTGTTTACTGACTCGCCTCTCTGAGAGACGCTCTCTCTGAAGTCCAAGTTCTAGTCCGCATCCAAGTCCGGGGCTGCTGATAAGCCAACGATAGATAACCGCGCCTGACATTCAACGCGATTCCGTCGCAGTCAGTTTAGCGAGGGGCGATTTAAAAGTTAACTTAAATCCATTGCAATATGATTTTATTTGATCCGAAATGAAAGTATTTCAAGTTGAAGGATTAGGAAAGCATTCTGCCTTCTGTCATCTGTCATCCTCTTATCCTCATGACTTACTAACTTTAGTCTCGAATGACAAATATTTAAACATCGAGACTAACTAAGAGCAACTTTAATTTCCACCTCAATGGAAACGAAAAACGTGTTTAGTAAATGAGCTCGTCGCAAGGCCAAATCATTAAGATGAAACCGGAGATAAGAGGCTCCCCGATTTTACGCCCGATTCTCGAAAGTCACTGGGCTTTAGGATTTACCGTTAAATCAGGGCCCACGCGTAATCAATTAATCATCTTCCCCTCTACCTTTCGCCCGCCCCCCTTCTGTCCCTCGTCGTCCGTAGCATTCACTCACTTTGCCATGCAAAACCAAATTAGCCGACCACCTTCAATGATTTGCCCTTCGCACACAGTCAAACTGAGAATACACTGGGAGAAACTAGCAGAGGAAACTTTAAGTTTCAAATCTTGTGGATTTCTTTAGTGGGAATAAGCTGAGATGAGCCTCAAAGCTGGCTGTTTGAGTTAGCCTTAAGACATTTTCCCACCTTAATCCATATTCATTCTTTAAATATCTTCTAATTTTTCATTTTTGATATAATTTTTGTTAAAAACAACTTCTTCATACTTAATAGTTCTCAGTGTAATGCCCCAACCGTACGCGACTGTGAGCAAAGCTCTTTGCGATTGCGATTTTAATAATGTTGAGAGTCAAGTTTACACTGCCTGAAAAGGAGATAGAATGCCACGGAAACGAATGAAAGGGAAGACCAGAGGAAGAAGAAAGAGACAGAGCTACTACCTACTACCTATGTTACTCAATTGATTACAAGTTCGATTTGAATTGTGCAAAAATTCAAGAATTTAAACAACTTTGATTTCAGACACCGGCAAAACTAAGCTACTAATCACTATTAGTTCTTAGCTACTTTTAATCTTAGTGGAGTTTGATATTTCACAGAAAACTTTCTTGCTGAGCATTTGCATTTACTTACAAACCCCAAACTCTTCTTTGGAAAATGTTTTCCCTTTAAGGAAAAACCTTCGCTTAGTTGCCACATACTATTTGGTCAGTCTCGAAATCCCATTGCAATTAGGCAATAGCCAGGCATTTACAAATTGCAAAAGAGGGGCTACTGAGTGGAAAATAGGTTTTCCCATTTAGTGCTTTGCAACTTTCCTTTTCACCTAATTGGACTTTTATCTTCGTCTTCCTCTCATTTGTTTATAACTATTAAGTACTGCTAGTAAGTAAGTAAACTATGTAAACTATATCAGAACTATCATAGATTCGAAGTTCGAAGTTCGGTTCTGTGGCTGCGAATCAAAAAATGAAAATTCAATTAAAATTCAACAAACAAACTGATGAAGGATATGCGAATGTGGGCGGTAAATCTAAAAAGAGGGCGGGGCGGTTGGTCTTGGAAAAACTTGAAAACCAGCTGCTGCTGCTCTTCACTTGAACCAAAAATAAATCATCAAAGAGAACGGAAGCGACAGAGGCTAAAAAACTGGAAAAGACACTAAAAAAAAGTAAAGGATTTTCTTTGAGTTTTACTTTTAAATAGAAATTACTTAAAATTTTCTTTAAAAATATGAGGGAAAAGCTAAGAAAATTCTACAGAAAGCACTAAAATATTTTCATAGCTTCTCCACATTTTAGTTTTCCCTTTTCAAATATTAAAAATATGAAAAAATTCCTCAAAAATCTTTCATTTACCAAAATATTTTGTAAAAATAAACCTAGAAAATTCTATAAAATATCCTAAATTTTCTCCCAGTGTATTAGTCTGCTAGGCAAAGGATCTGCTGGCGGCAGATTCGGCACTCGACGCTTTGCAAATTAGTTTCGAGCTGAGTTTTGGCTGGCGCTCAGCGCATTTCATGCAATTATTTAGTCATAATTAGCGCATAATAGTTGCCGTTTTTCGTCGGCACAAAAACTTTTGCTCATCTGGCAGTAGTCCTCTTGCCTTGCCTTGCCATTTCCCTATTTTCCATTTACCATTTTCTCTGTTCACAATTCATCATCATCATGATGGCATCATGACGAAAGAGGCAAAAGGAGTTTGCCGCTTCTGTGGCAGTCGGCTAAAGCCAGCAATGGTTAATCACTGCACTTGCCACACTTTAATTGAAGTGATTTTTGGGGCCAAAGAAAACCTGCCCTGCCAGCCAGCTTGATTTTCTTCAACACTTTTGCTGATTTTCAGATTGAATTATAAGACGTAAGACCTTGATCTAAACATTCCTTTTTAAACCAGTTGGTTTAGGAATTCCAGAGTCTAATTTAGCTTCTGCAAGATTAAAACTAAAAGTCAAACCAAAAGCGTTACAATTCGATTTTCACTCGCTTTTCTTTCTTTACTATCAAACCAAATCCCAGACAGCTAAATGGTGAAATGAATTCCTTTTCATTTTTAACCATCCTTTAGTTAACCTTTTATATTTGTAATGCCACTATCAGAGTCTCTAATTTCATTTCCGAGAACTCAGTTTAGCGGCCACCTGAAGCCGTCAAAATGTCAGAAATCGTTTAGTTATTGATGGGAGTTGCAATTTTCCATTCAATTTTCAGCGGAATTCCCTGTGCAAAATGTTGCCTTAATCCGCTTGATGTCGCCTCCATTGGGAAATAATAAAAATATATATACTCGTATACTATATACTATATACTCCTGTATAGTATGGAGTCATGACAGACGACAGACGCGGCGCTGCTCTATTTGCACTTTAAATGCGGCAGGTGCAAGTGTTGAATTTTCTCCACCAGGAGTTTGGAGTTTCCACGTCAATGTAGTCTGACACGAAAAATTCAATTTCCAGCACGCTTTTCCTTTTCGCTTTTCCCGCTCTCCCCCTGCTTCCTTTCGCTGCACCCGACACTCTTGTCTTGGCTGCCTCAATTTCAAATAAAACGAAATGCAATTTGATATTTTACGCGCTGCATTTGTCAGTCTCTGGGCCTGTTTTTCCGGTGGAAAAGCACTTCTCATTGGCCTTGTTTTCCCCCGTAAACACTTTCCGTTGCCCCACACCAGAGTGAGAGAGGAGCCACCTCATCTTTTTCTGGAGTGGGGGGGAGGGGAGAAAGGGGTTGCCTGGGAAAGCGCAATCTCGACTCCAGTTGAAGAGTTTTCCGTCCGCCGGCGGGCAAACCAATTTTCAGCAAAAACAAAAGGGTAGAACTTTTCCAAATTGTTACAACTTGATTCCGGGGGAGAAATGCTCGAAATTAAGATGCACTCCAAGGCAGTGAGTTTTCATTATTCGTTCAACTTTTCAGTTTTTTTTGTCTGAAAATCTGTTTTCAAGTCTTTCTGCACAATTGATTGGATGTAATCAAGCACCTTAGAACGAATGCAAATAAAGACTCCTTTTTCCTCATTTTAGTCATACGCTGAAAAGTCGTAATCCTGATTATTCATCAAAAATTATCAGAATTTTAGCTACCAAAAGGCCAAAAATCTAATTCATCCCTGAACTCGTAATTAAAATTCCAGTCGAACTGCAATCACACTTTAAAATTTCAAATTTCTGCCATTTTTCGCCAACATTTTTGATCAAAAATCCTAATTTGGGGTTCTCCTCATTTTCCCACAAAAATGACAGTATTTTCTTCACAGCTAAGCCCCACTAATGGTTCGAATAAGGAATGCCATACTTCATTTCCATGAAAACTGCATTCACAGCTAAAAATCTGGTACCCCTTATGGAAAATGTTAAATTCAGTCAGTCACGATTTTCTCCTCGAAAATTAAAGTATTTTGGCCATAACTTGGCTAATTTTCCAAAGATGAAATGCTATACATCGATGAGCTCCTAATTAAAATTGCATCCGAACTGCTTTTAGAAAATACAAATAAGCTTTGCTTTCTTATGAAAAAGCTGCTTTCTTGTCAAAAGAGGTTAAAATAAGGGTCAAGATATCTGATCTTTCTGAACTAATAGTTCAAAATCAATCAAAAATCTGTCGAATACTCATTTTGATTTTCAGAAATTTTATAAAATATATATATATATATATATATATATAATATATCATTCTGATCTTTATCCTTTTTTTTGTGTTTGCAGCAACATTCGCGAGGGCATTATTCGCTGCATTTTGGCCACTGACATGGCCCGTCACAATGAGATCCTCACCCAGTTCATGGAGATAACGCCCGTTTTCGACTATAGCAACCGTGCTCACATCAATCTGGTATGCCAGCGAGAGATCCATATCAAAGGCATATAGCTAATCCCCTTTGGATTCCTTCCTTTTTTGTCAGCTCTGCATGATCCTGATCAAGGTGGCAGACATCTCGAACGAGGCACGACCCATGGACGTGGCTGAACCCTGGCTGGATCGCCTGCTTCAGGAATTCTTTGCCCAGAGTGCTGCTGAAAAGTCCGAGGGTTTGCCGGTGACGCCTTTCATGGATCCGGACAAGGTTAGCAAGCCGGGCTCCCAAGTCCGTTTCATTGGACTCGTTCTCCTGCCACTTTTCGAGGCATTGGGCGAACTGGTGCCAGAGCTCACCGACCTCATCATCATACCCGTTCGCATTGCTTTGGAGTATTACAGGTAATTAATAGTCTGTCATATGCATTATATATCTTCAAGGAGGATTTCCAATTCCATAAATCTAAGGAATCTTTCCATACTTTCATTATGTAATCCATTTCCTTTTTATACAAACTCAGGCGCCTCAACGATGCCCAGACAAAGACTCGCAAATCGGTGGCCGACAGCAATACATCGGCCACGTCGGACAGCAACAGCGGTACCATCGACTCCAATGCGGCTATGGTCAGCACACCGGGAGCGGCCAGCGATAAATTGAACTTGGACAAGGCCCAGGGCAATTCACAGGGCTCTGGCGGTGGCAGTGGCGGTGGCGGTGGAACAGGAGGCACTGGCTGTTCCGGTTCCGGCGGTGGTGGTAATAATACAGCCGGAAGCGTTTCACCACAAATGCCACGCTCCGGGTCCGGGATCAGTGTTAAGTCACGGCGCAGCATTCCATCGCAAAAGTCCGCCTCGAGGACATCCGTAGATGAGCCCGGCGGTATGGCAGCGGAGCTCCATGATTTACCAGAGGGCAGTGAGAGCGGTGATTCGGAAACGGCCACCGAAGTGGATGTAAGTATGACCATAAGGAGAACTTGTTTACCCCGAAAACTCATTCCATCTCGATTATATAACCTCTCATAACACCACCTTTTAATCCTCTATCTTTCCAGGTGGCCGAGAAGACATCCAAGTTCAAAGTGGACACCGAGGGCAGCAGCAATCGTAGCAAGTCTTCGCACTCCACATCGAGGAAATCCTCACGCGAGAAGCGTCCCTCGATGATCGGTGAACTGTGCAGCAGTGGCGGTGGCCAACGTATCCGTAACTCCTATGGCAACATCCATGGCTATCACAATCGCTGTCACTTTGGCAACAATCGAGCGGTCAGCTTGGATCAGTATAGCAGTGCCGGGAATAATCGCCGCCTGTCGGATGGATTGCCACAAGTGATCTCGGACAGCAATGTTTTCTATGGACGTCACAATCGCAGTAGCATGGAAACCACCGGCGGTGGTGGTCCAGCAGTGGTTGGAATTCCCCAAGACACCAATGCCAATACAAACCATCCAGTTGGATGTCAACTGAAAGAGCTATTGGCCCGCACCGAGGCGGATTCAGAGGGTGAGGCCGATGGCAATGGCAAGGAGGAGAAGAAAATCCCACTGACCATTCCATCGATGCCATTGGCTACTTCATCGAATGGCAATATATCGCCGCCCCTGGTGGTTACCGAACAAATCCTGCCCAGTAATGGCAGTACACGTAGCAGTGCCAGTAGCGGTGGCCGCGCTGGTTCCGGAATACCTGGAGGATCGGGCTCTGGAGGAGCCGCAGGACCCTCGGCCGGTGGCAGTTCCTGGAAATCGAGACTGCGCCAGTTCTCAGATTACTTTAGCTTCAGCTTCGATAAGGGCAACAAGCGTTTCGGCAGCACACGTAGTAGTCCCTGTCCCGGTTCCAATTCCAGTTCAGGACGGGCTAACAACAATGCCAATGGCTTGGGTGAAAATCAGGACGGTGCCGGAGGTGCAGGAGGTGCCATTAAGCCGGGCATGTGCTGCACCATCACCAACAGTTCGGGATCTCCCGCAAAGGGTGAATCTGGAGGAGGAGGTGGAAGCGGCGGTGGTACTGTGACCACCTTGACCACCGGAAATGACGCCCATCAGCGCCATCGCGCCTACAGCCTGGATGTTCCTGGCATGATGCGTTATTCCTCCAACGACAGCAGTCGCCATCCCAGCAACAATACGCTCCAGAGTGCGGGTGGCATTGGGACCGCAGGATTAGTCGGCGGATTAGAGGTTACCGCCCAGCGAGTACCGCCCAGTTTGAGCGTGGAAATAGGTCTGGCCAGCGGATCCTCGTCAGAGGCGGGCCCAAAGATTTGACAACAGGGGAGCACCAGGGAGGATTCTGCAGTAGGACGAGCAGGAGGAAGAGGAGCAGCAGCCATTGGCAAGGGTTATGGCCGCGATGAAGACGTCGACGGGGAAGATGAGCAGGACGAGGATGACGATGATGAGGGCGATGAGGAGCACCGCCAGCTGCAACAGCATCATCATCATCATCATCAGCAGCAGCAGCAGCAACAAGACGCCTCGTCCAGCTGCGAGGTATCCTCCATGTCGATGACCGTGTGGTCGGCAATTGGCCAACGTTTGAACGCCCTCGTCTGCCATTGCTGCGAACGCAAATTACCAGAACCGGAAAATGTCTAAGCGGTAGGGGAAAGGGCAGAAAATGCTATCCTCTCCACACTCCTCCTCTCACCCTTTTCCTCACCTCTACTGTAAGCAGCAGCTCGGGGTTGGCTTTCGTTAATTTTTTCGTTTTTCGCGCGCTAGTTTAAGTTTAAGCTTAGTCCGTAACTATTTAGTTTAAGTTTCCACAGATTTTACTCTCTCTTGTTTTGTTTTTTTTTTTTAATCATTATTATTATTATTATTATTATTATTATTATTATTATTATTATTATTATTATTATTATTTTGTCCCTTGGTTTACCTTTTAAGTATTTTTATTTATGTACACACGCATACCACACACAAATATATACGTATATGCATCATACTTAGAAGGATTTATTTTTCAAGTTCAAAAACAAAAATAAGCAACGAGCTGGGATTTACCATACTTTTTCATGCTTTTTTCCATATTTTAACGCAGTTTTGAAAACATTTCAATGGCAATCTTTATTTTTTTAGAAAACCACAATGTTTTCCCTTCCTTTTTGCATTCCAAACAACCATTTAAAATGATAAATATCACAGAATTTTCCTGAGAAAAGCATCCATCTATGTAGGAACTTAAAAATTTCCAAAGAATTCACTTTGTCAATAAGCCACATTCCCTGCATACCAAGAAAATCTATTTCTGCTTTACCTCCTACCTAGCATAAGGACTTCCCTCGTAAAATGCTGCAGGATTCAGCCAGCCAGCATCAATTTCCGTGCAACTTGGCGTGCAACGAAACCAAATGCGATTTGAATGTCACGAATGTCCAGTCCAGGAAAACAGGCACGTTGGCGCGCGCATTGGCCTTCGGTTTCGAAATTCTCATGCGAAATTCACGTCTAATTACGCAAAACAAATTTCGTCCATTTCGTCGTCCAATGTTGCATACATATATGCAACAGGGACCCAGTCGTGTGGCACGTTTATTTCCATGTAGATTCGCGCTCCCAGTCGCCTAATTCCATTTGCTTGTAGCTCGTTGCTTGCCATTTTCCCTGTTATCGTTTTTTTTTTTTTTTTTGGTTTTACCATTTTTTGGGTTTGTATTTTGTGCTCTTTTTTTTTTTGTTGTTGCATTCAATGGTTGCGATTTTTCCACGTGGGAGAAAAGTCGTTGCAGCGGGATGCCCGCAAGAGCAACGTCCATGGCCAGTCAATTGGATTTGGCAGCCGCAGCTGTTGATGTTGCATGCTGCTGTTGCTGCTGGGGCTGGGTGTTGTTGCTGATGATGATGCCGCCGCCGCTAGCTGATGGCAGCAAATTAATTAGAAGGCACTGTGGGAGCTGCAATTCTTTTCGATTATGCACGATTTTTCCGACTGGCCCAACTCGCAGCTGCTAAAAACGTTTGGTCGATGGTGGGAGAGGGGGGGCGTGTAGGTTTTGAAAATGAGAAAATCCTAAGGGATGATCCCCGTCGAATGAGAGAAAAACTAAATATCAATTTGCATTCGATAAAACGATAAACGAAACGATTTGAGGCCAACTCTGCGCATTCACATATCCCAGATGCAAAATGCAGAAAATATGAGTAAAAAGAAAAACCCAAGTTAATTATGATCAATGTAAATTTCTGTATGTAATTATGTTAAATATAGCTAAATACAAACAAACACACGCACACACACACACACACACACAGGCAGGCAGGCATACTCCAAAATGATAGCATACTTTGCAGGGCAAACTTTGATTGGCGCAGGCGAAACTTTGATTCAATTACGAAACGATATGATACGATATGATTACACGGAGAGAAAATAGAAGAGAGAAGCAGCAACTAATCAAGTTATATATATATATGTATATGAGGCAAGACCAAGCTGGCCCTTGGATACAGATAAAGATACAAAAACAGATAAAGATACAAAAACAGATACAAATACAGCTAAAGAGTTATAAAATTTTTTTGAATGTGTGTAATTAAGCGTACGTTCTAATTGAGCGTTCAATTCGATGAAGAAGAAAATGATAAAATCGAGTTAAGATGACAATTTATTCGGTGTAAATTTGAATGTCTAGCAAATCGCAGCAAATACTCTTAACTAAAACTAATTGTGCATTGTAATTGCAAGCTGCAGTATATATATATATATATATATGTATTGAGATACATATATACCTAGATACTTGCCTAGATGTGTACGTGTCATTTTCTCTCTAAGTTGTGTGTACGTTTGTTGTAGTGCGTAAGTTATATATATATATATATATACATAAACCAGATCGGTGTATACCCAACTAAGTAATTCTCTGCGTGTGGTGGTGGTCTACCCGCCTACTCCATTCCGCTCGTTGTGTGTGTTTTCTGTAGTTAGATTTCGAAACTAGCTGCCTAATTATAAGTTTATCGAAATGTATTCGTGTATATGTATGTGTGTACCTTCCAGTACCCTTTTCCCCTTTCCCTCCCTTACCTTAAACAGTTTTCTGTTAGTGTTCCTGAGAAGTGTTAGACTGAGCAGGACACTTACATATACGAGCATACATCTCACAGACAGACAGGCAGGGTATGCACCCAGGATCAACTAGCGAAATGGAAAATGATTATCAGATTAAAGGAAAAACCGAAAACCTAAAACCTAAAACCTAAACACCCTTGATGGCTAAAACTCTTAGATGTAAGAACTCGAAAACCTAAATAAAAACCACACTTTAAATTAGCTAACACATCAAATTGATTTGTTGCCTTATAATACTACAACAACTACAAAAACTACAACTATAACAACTACAACTACTGTACTGCATTGCAGCTGTGTGCGGGTGAGATTTCCCAGGAAAACTCCTGTCTTCTCCCCCTCTGATCACAGCGTTTTATATATATATATATATATATTGTTCATGCCACCAACTTCCCTTGTTTGAATGACAAAACATAAAGACTAAAACTTGAATTTAAACAAAATCAACAAAAAGAAAAAAAAACAAAAAAGGAAAACTAAAAAACTAAAACCAAAACAAAGAACTTTCCAACAAAACCAACTATACATATACATTAAAATATATATAAAAATATACATAAATATTTATCTTAAAGATACTACAACTACAAAAAAAATCATAAAAAAATGAACTCTAGGTGTTTTACAAAATGTAAAAAACAAAAAAACAATAAAAAAAATAAATGAAAATGACAAACTGGAAAACCAAATTGAAACAATTTTAAGCATAAAAAAACTAAAGTAGTTCAGAGCCCAAACTAAAAATCGCAAAAGCAAGCCATTTCTTGGCCAGCAACCTAACAAGAATGATGAAAATTTGGCAGGCCGAAAATTGAAATGTCCTTGCAATGGATCGGAAAAGATATTAGGAAGTTTTCCTTTTCAAATATTTCAAAAAATATTTCAAAATGATAAATTTGTTAAATTTCATCTAAAAATATTTTAATAAGATATTTTGTTTTAAATATAAAAAGCAGACAATAGGTGAATATCCATTTAAAAATCAAAAATATTAAGGGCGTCTAATCACAATTTTCAATTTAAAAAACATTTTCTTAATATAAAGTCCGATTTAGATTATGAAAAAAGGTTCAACTATTAAGATAATAACTAGATTTTATTAAAATGTTTTCTATGTTGTTCGAAAAAATTATACAAAAACTTTGCCTGACCTTGTAAAACATTAGGATATCGCTGTTTTTGTTATCGATAAGTTAGGCCACACCACATTGCAGGGGCATTCTTGTTCGCTTTTCGGCAATCACGTAAATATTTAGCGTACTTTTTGGCAGTCAATTAAATGCTTCCCCCTTCCGAAAGTTGGTTGAATGATATTATGTATACTTGGAAGAATGATAAAAGTTAATCGAATCGGATGAGATCCGATAGATGATCGAATAGCGAGGATAGCGATAACAAGTTCCAAAGACAAATGCTTGTTCGTACCTAATCAAATATTTAGACAAGGATATGAGCAATTTGGACCAACTTGACTAAAACCCCAAACAATTGCCCCTTGAACTCCTCAAGAAGTAAACCCCTGCAGCTACATATTTATGTATAAATGTATGTGCAAAACGATAACGATAGCGATACCAAATACGATTACGATTCAGTATATGTACAAACAAACACACACCCACACACACACACAAACACTCACACACGCAGACACAACGACACGGACACAGATACAGATACAAATACAAAAGTCTTAGTATGCAGTTCAACGTATGTAACAATCTCGTAGGTCTAAACCACAACTACCTGTCGACTTACCGATCTAGATCGAGATCAGCAATATCAGCTAACAAAAAATATACAACAAACAAAAAAAAAGAGAGTAAAGCGGGACAGTGGGAATGGTATAGAATGAAGCGCTAGAAACGGAAAAGGAACCGTATGCATCTTACTTTATACTTTTCTACGTGACTTACAAGCTCGAGCAAACTCGACGACAAAACAACTAGAAATCTAAAGATAAACTTCCTAAACGGTTTCCGCACAAACACAAGCCTACCTACCACACACACACTTGCACACACACACTCCCTCAAGCCCACGTACACAAACGCAGCTTTGTCATTGAGAAAGTTGGTTCGAAGAACAAAGTACTTTCCTCCTAAAAAGGTGAAAACAGTGTTTTCTTTTAGTAATCAAATTTGATCTTTCAAACAGCATTGAACGAAATCTACCCAGTGTGACCTTTCACACCGGCAGAGCTGTGCAACAGTGTGATCATGCTTACAATTGATTCAAAAACTTGATGTTTTTAAACAAAAACTGCTTTCTTATTAGTTTTTGATAAAAGAAAACAAATTAAAAAGAAAAACTTTAGAAGGAAATGCCTCTTGAAGAACCACTACTCTTTGACACTGTCTGTCGATTAATCGAATGTCCAGGCAAGGCATCCAACCACCGATAATGGACCACACCCTGCACCCTGCAATCGATAACCCAAAAGAAGATAAGCCCAAACCCTTTTGCTTGACCCCTGAAAAGCCTTGGCCGCCATCTATGTACACACAATGGTAAAAAGCGATTCTTCTACAAACTAAACTAAAACGCAACTAATGTGTAATTACTAGTGACCCTCCTAAACGATCAACTGACAAAGCCTTTACTCCAAGAAATACACACGAGAAAAAATAATTATATACAAAGACTACAATTTTAAATATACAAAAAGAGAAGCGAAATTTTAAACGAGAAGTGAGAGAGAGGTAGATAGTTAGAGAGAGATCCTTGAACAGCATTCTTCGGCAGGCCGAAGCTTAGATGCTCTTTCAATACCCTTACACACTCACACACATAAGATCTATTATATATATATACGAATATAAGCCTGGCTGCTTGCTCTTCAGTGTACTGGAACTACTGTTTTTTTTTTTTTTCGTTTTCTTCTCCAAAGCGTTGCAAGTCTTTCTAAAAGAGAGAGGGCAACCCGAGAGATACCCTGGCGAAACCTAGAGGTTCATCCACATTGCTATATAGTATATTTTCAAATTTTATGTCAATAAAAGGAAATCGATATATATATATATACATACACATACCAAATAGAATCATATATATATATACAAATAGTTATAATTTGTAAGCGACAACAGAGATCACAAATCAGAGTGCAAGCAAGCCCAAAGAATGAATATCTTAAGGATATCTCTTCACGCAGATAGAAAGACAGAAAGATACTGCAAAAAAGGTACACACACAAATCCCGAAAGTAGGTGAACTCTTAACGATGATCAAATAGTAAGGATCAGGAAATATTAAATCAGCAGCAAGGTAAATTCTAGCAGAAGTATATTGAGTGTAAATTAAATAAATCCAAGCACTTGAATATCAGTTCCTCCTTCCCTCACGAAATCAACCCAATCCCCAACCCCCCCACAAAGAAGATAATACCCATCACACAGAGGAAATCTACAGTTCATTGCAAGAGATATTCTATATATAGAAACAACAAACCAAAGAGAAAGCTGAGCAAATTCTATGTGAAGTAAACAAATAGTTATTATATATACATATATATATATACATACACACCTATACAAAGCCTAAAAAAAATACATATATAGATGTAAAAAGCTCTTGGCACAACCTAACCGAATAAAATAAAGAATCAAATATCGCTGAGTCACAAGCCCAAGGAAAATCCCAAGAAAGTCAACTAAACTAAAATCAGCTAAGAAACGAGAAATTCAATGAAACTTTTCCGAAAATGCATTTAAATGGATTAAACAAATATTTAAATGAGATAACTCAACTTGTATTTAACACTTAGTTATGTCCAAAACTCAGATTAATGGCATACAAAAAGAAACACTACACTACACAACATTTATACAGACCCGACACATATGCATACAGACGAAAGGACTCCACTCCTAAAGGACACACCAATAACTACCAATACAATACCTACGAGACGAACACAGGGACACACTCTTACACACACAAACACACACTCACACACAAGTATTTTTGTGTAAAAGTATAAAACAGAAAATATGAACTAATGAATGAATATGAAATATATTGAAATAAAATCATTTCCAAACTACTTATTAAAAAAAAGTTTATTGGCTTTTCATTGGAAAAAGGAGACCAAATCAAGTCTAAATAACGTTTTTTGGCTGTTCATTTTAAAATTATTGGAAAAAGGAAATTGCATTTGCATTGGTTTCCTTCATGGGCAAAAGTCAAATCTAGATGGCGCTATTTAGATGCTTATTTGAAATTCATTTCGAAAGAATTTTTTAACAAAGGGCTTGTGGTTTTTATTGGAAAAGGAAATTGCAATTTAATATCTTCTTAGTTCCCTCCATTGGCAAATATCAAATCATTTTAAAATCATTTAAAGAAAAAGTTTAGTGGCTTTTCATTCGAAAAGGGAAAAAGCAATTGAATATCTTCGAAATTACCTCCCTTGCCTAAGGTGAAATATAAATGGCGCTTTTTGGATGCCAAACTTAAAATAATTTTTACTAACTATTAAAAAAGCCTAGTGAGTTTTTTATTGGAAAAAGAAAATGCATTTGAATATATTCTTAGTTCCCTCCATTGGCAAAAGATCAAATCTAGATGGCGCTTTCCCTTAGCAAATTTATACTTGCCATTTAGATGGCGCTAATTTAGATGGGCTAAAGCCTATTTTCCCAACATTTTACAGAAATTTAGTTTATAAATCAATATTTAAAAGTGTTTCAAATTATACAAACTAAAGAAATCAAAAAAAAAGATGGCTAGACTTTATCTGAAGATACATTGTTCATATAATAAAAATAATAAACATATTTGTTTCCAATTCAATACATTTTTCCACATAACTTTCTTATTTTAGTAAAAGTTTGGTCTTAGACTTGAGTTTATCCTGAAAAAGCTGCTTAACTTTTCCAAAAAGCTTACAGTTGTTTTAAAACCAAGATTACGAATATTTAGTCCAAAGACTAAGTCTAGAAATTGAAAAGCTTTTAGCAGGTTCGAAAGAATTCTACAGAGATGTTTTTGAAAAGCTAGAAAAAGCCAACTCAAATCGAACAAAAGCTTGCAACACGTTGTGTTGCCAAGTGGTGTTGCTACTTGGCTTTTTGTGGATGTTGCTACTTGCGTACGCCAGCAACATCTGTTGGGGCGCAGCCTCAGCGACGCCGTCAGTTGGCTCTTGACTCTCCCACGTTGCAGTCGGTGGTTCTGCCCGGAATCGGAAACTAATTCGAAATCCGAAACGGAATCGGAATCGGCATCGGCATCGGAATCAGAATCTTTGCCCGGATTCTAAAGCGGACTGAGAGAGAGTGGTTCGGCACGGTTTCAAGTTTACACTTGCAACAGCAGCAGCAGCAGCAGCAGCGGCAGCTGCAGCAGCAATAGTGGGCAGCAAAAAATCAACAAAATCAACAAAGGCAACAAAGGCGGTGGGCAAAAAGCAATCAGCAAACAGTCGGTTGTAAAAAGGACTAGGAAAATAGAAAAATCGGGTGGCGAATAAAACAGGGAAATCTAGCAGAGGGGGCTAGCCTTCTTGTTGTTGCTACTGCTACGGCTGCCACCGCCACTGCCACTGCTGCTTCTGTGGCTGGGAAATTTGTTTGTTGTGCTTTCACATTTCCCTTACATTCCTTTTTTTTTCAAGTATTTTTAGTGCTTGCGTGCGAAATTTTGTTGGTGTCAAAGTTAAACATTTTACGTGATATGTAAGTAGCAGAGCCTTGAAAATAGCAAAAATAGCCAAAAAAAAAAAATATATAAGGGAAAATCAATGCGCGTATGCGTGTGCCCCACTGTCTGTGTGTGTGTGTTTGTGTGAGTGTGTGTGACTATGAGTGTGTGTTTGTAAGAGGGAAAATCCATAAAACGGCGTGAAGTGAAACTCGAATTTGTCGCTGTCTTGGCATACGAAAAATAAAGCTATTCAAATAATTTCTTTCGATTCGAATCAAAGACACCCCTTAATCTAACAGTGTAAGTGTGAATGTGTCTGTGTGTGCATGCTGCATGCGTGTGTGGGTGTGTGTGTGTGTGTGCAATTCTCTGTTTTTGGCAACCACAAAGTGCCAAAATCCGTTCATCTGTGGTAAAAAAAAAATAACATCAGAAAAAAAGACAAAAAGAAAAATCCCCCTTGGAAGCTTTGTAAACAAGCAATTCGGCTGCCAAACACGGAATCGCCGAACAGCTGATCCACCGCCCAACTCTGCCACCCACTGAAAATGCGCCATCCCCTGCAAGAAGAACACACACACACATAGCCGCCACTCACATTCACACACACACACACAGGCAGAGGTGAAATTGCTGCCAAAAACTGTCTGTCGACACAATGCAGAAGAACTTTTTGACCAGAAAAGAACAGTGGGCAGAATCTTAAAGATGCGTCGAAGATTATTTCGTAAACTCTTTTAAATTTAAATCAAACTTAACATATATTCTTTGCTTAAATTGAATTAAAGTCTTAGTATATCAAGTAAATATTATTATTATGATAATAACTAAGGAATTGGGAGTTTTTTTTCCCTTTGCTGGATATTTTTGATTTAACATTTTTAACATTTTGATTTTGTTTCAAAAAAGAGTCATTACATTAATAAACTTTGGGAATTGTCGGAATATTATTGCCTTTAAAAGTCACAATTTACCAACAGCCAATGAAAACCTTAAAATATTTGCATAACCAGTTACTTTTTATATAAAGTTTAACTCCATCTCTTGATATTTTGAATAAAAATCATCAAATAGCATATAATAGATACCATTTTTAGCTTATTTAAAAGATTAAAAAAATCTTGAACAAAAAAAGTTTAAATATATTTAAATATTTTAAGTTAATATTTCTCATCTTTAAAATAATCCATAAAATATTTTAATAAAAAATAACCACTGTACAACAACATCAAACTGATTATGTTTCCAATAATCTATCACCTTTCTCCACAAACACAAACAAATGCACACACACGAGCAGTGCAAGGACAGTCCAAGAATACTAAAAAGAAGAAGAAGTATATTTGCAACACCAAAACTAAACAACTGCAACTGCAAAAGCAACATTTAGCTGCTAGTGCAGCTCCCACAGCCATCGCCGCCGCCAAGTTCAAAATCAACGCCTGACAATGACAAAAGCAGCAACGTGGCGCCCACCAAGCCCAAAAATAATACCAGCAACAACAACAGCTACAATACCAATCAAAACAGCAATATCATCAGCAGCAGCAGCAACAACAACAAGGACAGCAGCAGCAGCAGCAGCAGCAGAGGCAGCAACTGCAACTGCAACTAAAGCAACAACAATCAATGGGCCCCAAACGACATGGCGACGTCAACGAGGCTGCACACCAGCAACACCAAACATGCAGCTGAAGCAGCACCAGCACCAGCTCCAACAACAACAACAACAACAATCGTACTTGCAATGCCTAAAGGCGGCCTGTCGACTGGGGGCGTGGCTGCCACCAATGACGTCGATGTGGCTGCCAACTGACTCAATCGCCCAGCTGATTTTGGCCCTCTGCCTGCTGGGCTGCCTCAGCCCCTTTACAGGTAATTAGCATTTAATATGTACTAGTAGACTTTTCCTGCCCATTTTCCCTTTCCCCTATCTATCTATCTAGCTGGTATATCAAATGTTTTAGGGTGGTTCTTTATAAATTAAAAATAATTAGCTAGGGATTGGCAAGTACTGTTTAAAGAAAGGTTCTGAGGCGAAAACTCTAAAAAGCTCTGAGAAATCACTTAAAATATTATTCAACGAAGGAATTTTCAGATATCCCATAAAGAAACTCCTTCAAAACTCAAAAGAAATCATTAACTTTTTCCAGTTTCATGATTATTTTTTATACATTTTTTAGAAACAACTTAAAAGTTCTTAAAAATAAAAAAAAAATATTAGGAAAATATTATGATTAAAACACAATATTTAAGCAAAAAGTTTGGAACTTTCCAAAAAAAAATGTCCTAATATTAAGCATACGCCACGTTGACCGAAAAAGAAATGACTCTCTTAAAAAAAACTTTAAAAAACTAATATGCTGGCTAAATCAGAAATTTGGATGCATATAAGTAACGTCATATATAATTTATAAAAATAAGAAAAAATTAACCAAGGTCCACCCTTCACCCACATTCATTTGCATTTCCTCGTTAGCAGCGTTTTGGCGTCTTTTGGCTCAGCCCCCGAAATCGAATCAGTTTTTATGCCCTCTAATGACGCGATTATCCAGAAGAATAACAAAAGTTTCGCAGAGAATTAATTTTTTAGTACAGAAAAAATAAAGAAAACCTGTCAGAAATTTTGCCATAACAATGTCAGCATGCCTTCGGTTTGATATTTTACCATTTTCCTTCTTTCCCTTTCCTTTTTTTTTGTTGGAATTTGCATATATCGAAGGTTGCAAACACCAAAACCAACACTCCACATTCTAAGGCGCCGGTGAGTCGGCCATAAATCTGCCTATTACAGTGAACACTAGCCCCTGTGGGACAGCCTATATATGTACATATATATATTTGAAATCAATAATGTAGCTGCCTAAGTGCAAGCCTTTAAGGTCAGTCGTTATGTGTTTTATTAAAATTCCCTCAAAGAATCATAAGAGTTTTGCAAATCTATTATTTAACTTTCTAAGTGCTCGGAAGAAAGGCCATTTGTTAACTAGAAAATCTATTAAATTAATCTCAAGAGTTTTTAAATCTATAGAAATAAATAATTAAGAGGGCAAGTAGGCAAATTTAAGTTTTAAATGGCAAGCAAATTCCTAAAATAAAATCAATTTAAATCACAAAATCAAAATTTTTGTGCTTGAAAGTTAGCAAGGCATTATAGTTTTTCTTGGGAATTTTCTTTCAGTTACTTCTCATAAAGCTTATCCACTGTATTTTACCTTGCCTATGCTCAATCAAATTTGATGATTCTGTTTTTCTTTTATGTGCCAGTCGGAGTCGGGCCATAAACAATTGCCAGCAGAATGAGAAAAGTCTTGAGATTGCCTAAAAAGGGTGAAAATGCAGTGAGGAAAATTCCCTGTTCTAAAAATTAGAAAATTATTCACTAGAACTTGAACAAAGGTCAGGAAATATTCAGGCCTGGAAATGTTATTCAAAAATAAAAGTTAGTTCTTAATAATTTTCCTTTTTTAGAATCTCTACATAAACCTTAAAGATAAAAAAGATAGAAAACTGAATCATAACTTCCATTTTCCAACCATTTTTTCGTGCCATGTTAATGGGGTTTTTCCTTTTTCCAGCCGTGTATGCTTTTTTCTATTGAGCAGTTTGAGTTGTTAGTAAGAGTTGGAATACAACCTTGACTTTGCACATGCAACGAACACGGCTGTGTTTTAACCCTGCCTGCCACTTGTGCCACAAAAATTTGAATGTTAGAAACGAAAATGTGGAAGAAGAATAGAAGAAGAAACTGGAACTGGAACGAGGGAGCATGTGAAAGGCACTTGAATACTGATGATTCAACTCGAGTAAGATGGATATCGAACGATATCCTCTCCATCAATCTTGAGCCATTCTATAGCCTACTTAGTGGCGCCAGGGTCTAATTAATTGCACAATGAATGAAAGAGGGTTAAAAAGGGGTAAAAACGGGCAATGCAAAGTTGGAGGAGGAACATTATTTTAGTTAAGAAATTAATAATTTACTAAACAAGGTTAAAATAACAATATTAGATCATGAGAACTAAAATATTTTACCTTAAAACTGATTTTTTAACATACTCGTATTTAGTAAAAACTTTCAAGATGTTAACCTTCCTAATCGAAATCTCAAACCAGCAGCAATGCGAGAAGCTAATACCCTGCCCTAACCAAATATATATTCCTTAGGGGGTTAATATATTTATATAACCCGAATATATATCCCAGTCCTAACACTAGGCATTAGCTTACATAAACTCACCGCCCCGATCGATGGCTGAGCGTTGCGTTTCAGCTAATTACATCGGCCTGGCTGGTGGTGCTCGTTTACATTACATTTTTCCATCGTGATGACGATGACGATGGCTTTGGTGGTGCAATCAATCGACCGTTGAGTGGTGACAAGAGTGTTGGGTGTGCCATGCCATCGAGATGCCATCGCCCAATGGGTGATTATGGTCAACGATGCAATCGGATAGATGGATGGATGGCCAATCGATCCATTCCATTCCATCGGCTAATCTTTGGGCCTGAATCATTCAGTCAGGGTCAGCCAATGGCCCTCATCCTTGGCTCCTTACAGCCAAATAAGTGTTTTACAAAAAATTTTTATTTGAAATTTAATTACCAGAGCAGTCATTTAATCTGATAGTTAAATTCATTTATCAATAGACTTTTTTACGGTATTAAAGTTTTACAAAAAAAAAAGAAAAAAAAAGAAATACAAAAAGACATTTCACACAATTTATAAACATAAATTGTGTTCGTACATAAAAATCCTTTTTTCCATAGAATTTTCATTAAAAATTCAAATAAGTAAACAATTTTTATAGACGTTTTATCCAAATAATAATCAATGAAGCTTTCTCCGCTTATAATTTTAAACTCTCGACCCTAGGCAGCCCACGTGCCGCGTTGTTTTAAACGCTGCTCACCAGCAATCCTCTTGGCCCATTACGCATACGACACGTTGACGGGCAATGAGGGAGGTGAAAAGAAAAAAAAAAAGGAAAACACGAGGCAAAAGCAAAATGTGACATTAGACATTCGAAAAGGGGAAAAAGGGAAGGGAAAAGAGAGAAACGACGACGTGACCAGGCTAATTACACTGCACCATGGCATTCAAAATGGTTTTATAATCTGCGCTTCCGTTAGCAATACGCCAGCCGAGACGAAACTTGGCCAAAACAAATGTCCACAAAATGTCTTTCAGCCGCTTTTCACAAGCTTTTCCATTTAGCCGCACTTTGCAAAATTCGCATTAGTGACAGCCATTGATTGCCAAACACGAGAAAGCCAATCAAAAATAAGTGTATAGTGAAAGGTTGGGAAGTGAGGATTACGAGGGTTATAATTCTAATAATAAAATCAAAAATTGGTAATAAATTAGGATATAAATCCACTTAGTTTTAGATTTGATTTTAAGTCTTTCAAGTTCTTAATCATTATTATCTTAGTTCAGTTGCATTTTAAACTAATTTGTTGATCTAAGATCGAAGAGTTAACCTTATATACCCAATATCAGAACTATAGATTTGAATATTTTTTCACAAATTTAGTAAATATCATAAAATATTAATAATATTTTATACCCCTTATCCTTCATACATACATTTATTTTTTGCCCTGTGCATAGAGTGGCGAAAGAGAGCCACAAAGCAGGCAGCAAAAGTGGAAAACTTGATGGCTGCACTCACTCAACGATGCCACCGTGACCCTGCCACTTTGCCGCCCCTCTTGTACCGACATTCCCCCCTCCACCCGATTTTCCTTCACTTTCCTTTTGGCCGCTTAGGCATTTATGAACTGCTTCGACACAAGGCTGCAACTGTGGCAGTGCATTTCATTTTAATTTTTTTTCTGTTTTCTGTTTTTTTTTTCTCCTTGTTGGGTTGGAAAAGAGAGGCTCATTGTTGTTGGCCAGCCAGCATTTTGAATTGGCTACGAGGAGGAAAAGCGGAAAATCTTTTTAGCATTCTTCTTCTCTCGTCAAGTTCGGGAAAGTGGCGTGTGGCGTATGGCGTATGGCGTTTGACATTGAAAGTTAACTTCCCACATTTCCGTTGAAAATTGATTAGGGTTTCACTCTGACAACTTGGAAATCAAAGGGAATATTATACATATTTTATAATATTAACTAAATTTGTGATAAATCAAGATATGAGAGGAAGATATATGAGAGGAAAATCTTTGATTAGCTTGTTTAGAAATATCATGTAATATTAATTATATAAATAATCGATATCAAATTTCGATTTTTTATATTAATTGAATATCAATTTAAAGTCTTTAAACAAGCATTCAGATATGGAAGGATATTTGTAGGTGTTACTTCCCACATTCCAGTGAAGAAGTACTTCAGGCGTACTTAAAACCAAAACAGAAAAGATCTTTGATCCTATCCAAATCGTTTAGATATAGAAAAGAGGTTTTAATACTTATAGACATTAAAAATCCTTCTCTATTTCCCACTGATTTGAAATTGAAAACAAAGATCAACTGTTAGCTTTTAGATTTAATAAATATTTCATCAAAAATATATAATCTATAAATATTATTTAAAGAAACAGAAAACCCTGCCTTGCTATCAACAACTATCTAGCTTTGCGAAATTTTGGTCAATTGGTTGGGCATTTCAAAACTAATCATTATTTTTTTGATCGTATGTACATATCATATATGGTCGAGTTGCTTTCATATTTGCCAATTTGCCAATTTTCTTATAGTTTAGCTTGCAATGCGATGCGACCTACGCCCTAAACTAACGGCTGACTATTCATGGACAATAATATATAATATATTGTGTTGCAATGGAAAAAGTATAAAAGGGCACTGACCGCACTTTTGTTGGATTTGATGATTTGATGATTTCATGATGTGTAGATAACTCGTACGTA